CATACCAGCTGGCAATGATATCATGCATCAATCAGCTCTTTCCATCTAGACATATTTCTTTTTTTTTTAGATGTAGTTTTTTGCTCTTGTTGCCCAAGCTGGGCACAATCTCAGCTCACTACAACCTCCAACTCCCAGGTTCAAGCGATTCTCCTGCCTCAGCCTCCTGAGTAGCTGGGATTACAGGCATGTGCCACCGTGCCTGACTAATTCTGTATTTTTAGTAGAGACAGGGTTTCTCCATGTTGGTCAGGCTGGCCTCGAACTCCTGACCTCAGGTAATTCACCCACCTCGGCCTCCCAAGGTGCTGGGATTACAGGTGTGAGCCACCATGCCCAGCTTCTTTTTTTTTTTTTTTTTGAGATGGAGTTTTGCTCTTGTTGTCCAGGCTGGAGTGCAATGGTACGATCTCAGGTCACTGCAACCTCTGCCTCTCGGGTTCAAGCAATTCTCCTGCCTCAGCCTCCCAAGTAGCTGAGTTTACAAGCATGCACCACCATGCCTGGCTAATTTTTTGTATTTTTAGTACAGACAGAGTTTCACCATTTTGACCAGGCTGGTCTTGAACTCCTGACCTCAAGTGATCTGCCCAAAGTGCCAGCACTACAGGCATGAGCCACCATGCCCAGCCTACCTGACCATATTTCTACATTTGTTGGACTGTAATTCATTCTGTCCTTGTTACATATGTGCTTGGGTATTTTTGCCTTGGTCTCTTAGCAAAGGTCTCTGAGTCTGACCTTAATGTAACCTGACTCATTCTCCATGTGACAAATACCCCAGGTGGAGGAAGGCAGACAGTGGCCCTTGTCGTCAGCATGTGTGATCTGGGTAACAGGGGCTGGCTGGGAGCTTTGAGTCTAGGTGAGAGGTGAAGCCAGCTGAACTTCCAGGGTCAAGTGGGGACTCAGAGAACTTCTCTGTCTTACAAGAGGATTGTAAAATACACCAATCAGCACTCTGTAAAAACATACCAATCAGTACTCTGTAGCTAGCAAGAGGATTGTAAAATGCACCAATCAGTGCTCTGTAAAATGCACTAATCAGCAGGATCCTAAAAGTAGCCAATCGCAGGGAGGATTGAAAAAAGGGCACTCTGATAGGACAAAAATGGAACATGGGAAGGGGTAACAAGGGAATAAAAGCTGGCCACCCCAGCCAGCAGCAGCAACCCACTCGAGTCCCTTTCCACACTGTAGAAGCTTTGTTCTTTCGCTCTTTACAATAAACCCTGCTGCCACTCACTCTTTGGGTCCATGCCATCTTTAAGAGCTGTAACACTCACCACGAAGGTCTGTGGCTTCATTCTTGAAGGAAGGAACCAACTCCAGACACACAGGCACTGCCACCGCTTGTCCCTGAGGGTGTGTCTTCCCCATCTGTCTTCCTGTGCTGTCCCCCTGCTGTCTTGCAGGGGACACCCCTCAGTCTCTCCTTGGTAACTCACTAATTGAAATGCCTGCAGACCTCCCAACTAATAGAGCCAAGTTCCATTTTTTACACTGAAGTTTTGCTGCAGTGTTATAGAATACATCATTTTAGAAAAAAAATGAAACAACGATGGTACTGCACAGTAAATAAATAAGTTTACTGAGAGCCCCTGCTCTAACCCTATGTGTAGAAGTTTGGTGTGTAGTGTGACGTGCATATTGTGAATAGACCAAGCAACTCTCTGGTATGAGACCCCCTCAGGAAGAAGAACTGGAGACTCTGATGGTTAAAAATCCATTTGCAAGTGTGAAGTGCTTTGTGCAGGACACACATAAGCAGAGTCAAGGCTGGAGCCACCTTACTGGTAAAGGAAGAGGCAGTAACTAAACCAGCAGAAGTTAACAGAACAGAAGGTGCTTAAAAGCATCCGTTCTGCCTACAGGCCATGCCCACTTAGCCAAATCCACAGCACCAACAGCTTTTTAAACTTTATAGGAGTATAGAAGCCATTGACAATCTGATGCAAACTACAAACTCGGTTAAGAAAAATGGTCCGATTTGCAGATTATTTCAGTTTCACAGATTGCTGCAGCCCAGTGTAATCATTTTGCTGGTTGCCAGCCATTCAGGATCAATTATTCATATAGTGTTGGAGCACATGGGGGAAACAAGCAGTTACATGTCCATTGCAGTTAGAGATCAGCTCCTGCTTGCCAAATGTGCTTTTTCCTTACCTCACATCCCACGCACACGGGCCTCCAGCAGCAGAAGTTGCGAGGAAAAAGGAGACCCAATTTCACTACATGTTTAGTAATTAGCAACTAGGGATAGTTCCCCCAAATTTGCTGTGACTCACTAGCAATACAAATATAACAAATGCACAAGACGAAATTAACCTAATAGTCACATAATTATATAAGCCAGTCTCTTCATCGACTCTTGAAAAATTGAAGCAGATGTACATAAAACATTGCCAAGTGTATAATCTAAATAGCAAATCTGCAAAACCCTACTTAGTGTTTTAGTTAAGATTGAAACAGAAATGTCATAGACTAAAATGGTCTCCTCTCCACATCAATTATTTACTAAGTGAAGATATTGTTTTCCAGGCTGAACAAACAGTCTTGTAAATGAAAATCTACTATCTGGCCCACAAAGTTATTTTCCTCTCTTTAGGAGAAAGACAGGGTTGTTTTATGTAAATGAGTTGGAGGTAAAAGGGGCATTCTATTAGCCAAGTTTGTTTTCATCCAGAGCTATAACTAAAAGACTCTATAAACCTTACAATCAAAGCAATTCTTATTGTTCCTTCCCCCTCTCCTCACTACAAACAACAAAAACCACAATGAAACAAAATTTAAAAGTTATGCAGAATGATCAATAAACTTGTCAGTGTGGTTTTGAAAGCTTTGTAAGACCACTGCAATGCAAAATCATAATACTTAGGTTTTCAGTTAAATATTACCATCAAAGAGTAATTACAATGACTTTTTAAGTATTTCCAAGTGGCTGATGGCATTTATGCAGATGAAAAAGAGGTAAAAATCATCTTCATGAAATACAGGAGTAACAGGATGCTGGCAAGGAATTCCGTTTCTACATTCTCCACTTAAACCTTTTCTCTAACTGTGGCCAGCGGAAAATAGTAAGTGACTGTAATTGTTCAATGACTCACGCATAGACAATGCTTCTGACACTGTAAGACTTTTCCTTCTGTTAAATCACAATAGGTCTAAAAATGTCTTCTTTGTGGCTTGGAAAGACATAGTAATTTAATGAGGCTAGGGAACCCTGGCTCACTTGAGAAGCTTCATGCAGATAACAGCAGCGAGGGGAGTGTTAACACAACAATTACCATTTTCTTGTGAGAATATATTAGGAAAAAGAAAAACAGCTTGAAAGGTAGCAAAGCAAATGCACACATATGACATTTGGTCTAAAGTCTGTGCTAAAGGCAAGAATATATCCTTTTTCTGTGCAAAAAATAATAATAATAACTCCAAAGGAAAATTAATTTTTCTTTCAAAAAGCCTTCTGTCTTTTGTATGCTACTTTACTTACACGATTCTATTAGGGCAATGCTCTCTGACTGGCCATGAGACTTGCTTTCAAGTTACTGTTGGAACAGCTAAGTAGGGGAGGTGGCAAAGGGATTTTCTGATACAATTTGTCTTGAGGTGTGTGGTTTACCGGGAAGCCTTCAAAACACAATGTCTAATTGCTTTCCTCAAATAATGCATGAAAAAATTCGCATGCCCAATACCAAGAAGTTGAAGGTAAACCCTGTTTTGCATCAGAGAAACAAAGTTTATCCACACTATGGGAGAAAGAGAAAGTTTGAAAAGTGAATCAGGGTTATTATTACAGAAAACTGCCTGGATTTTTCTGAGTCGTCACAGAGTATGAGATTTGTTTGGAGAGCTGTGCATTTTTAGAACATTAATCACAACGATATTCAAATGGAAAAGGATCAAAACACTTTCCAGAGTCGAATATTAATGATCTTAGACTGTGTCACTGATGCTGTTAGAATAGCCAAACAGGTAATTGATTAACTACCTTTTATTTTAAATTATTCAAAGTTCTAAGTTAATTGGATCTGGGTGATTATTTCTCACAGGCAGTGTTTGATGTGGATAATTTATTTCTCACATGCAGTGGGAGTAACCTGGGGCATATTTTCAGTTTATCCTCTCACCTAACTTTACCTGCTCCCCTATATCACCCTCTCCAGTCCAAATTCTTTCTCAAACATCAGCTTCCAACTAGACAGCTCCATTTAGACAGGTCTTCCAACTTAAAATACCCCAAATTACATATAACATTTCTCCCTTACATCTTAGTCTCCTAAGGCACCACCATCCAACAAATTACCTATAGAAAGTCATCCTCAATTCACGTCCTCATTAAAATATCATCAGAGTCCAAACACTGCGCTTCCAATATATTCTGCCTTCCATCTCTCAGATTTCTGCCCTTCCCCTTATCTCTTTCCCCTCTGGGTTCATCCAAGGCTTTGACACTTCCCATCCAGATTTCTATCATAAGTTTCTTCCTTCCCATGTTGTAGGTTCTTCTAGCCTTCCTCCACTGTGCTACCGAAGTGATTTTTTGTTTGTTTGGTTTGTTTTTTGAGACAGAGTCTCATTCTGTCACTCAGGCTAGAGTGCAATGGTGTGATTTTGGCTCACTGCAACCTCCATCTCCTGGGTTCAAGCAATTCTCCCACCTCAGCCTCCCAAGTAGCTGGGATTACAGGCACACACCACCATGCCCAGCTAATTTTTGTATTTTTGTAAAGATGGGGTTTCACCACAATAGCCAGGCTGGTCTTGAACTCCTGACCTCAGGTGATCCACCCGCCTCGGTCTCCCAAAGTGCTGGGTACATTTGTTGAGTGATTTTTTTACAACATTAAAATATGTCATACATTTTTAAAACCAAGCCCTTACATGGCATATTCTTCTAAGCTTCAAGGAAAAGCAACCATAGTCAGTTGGGAAAAAAATTAAATAAAGCAGAAAGGTAACAGTCCTGAAAACTGGATTTACAAGCCCAGAATTCTTACCCAATGTCTGCCGGAAAGATATCTTCCAGCCTCTTGCTGTCTGAAATGAGTCTGTATTGAATACCAGGAGCATACTATTATTCCTGCTTTTCACGTTTGGTGGGCGCTTGGAACCACAGAATTTGCCAAGAAGGGGATCGCTGGTATTGGCACCATCGTAAATTGCCAGGTAGTCATGCGAGCAGGAGGTGGAGGGAACCACATCAAAATCACTGAACCTGTGAAATGTACCTTGTTAATGCTGATGTTTCCATCTGGACTTCTATTAAATTGTAGCTTTAGCTGTTGCAAAAAATGACAAGGAAAAAACTACCAGTAGAGCATTCAAGACTCACTTGATAGGAAATATTAGAAATCAAACAGTACTTTACTGATCAGTTCAAAAGTTTAGCCAAATTTGTTTTTAGTAATTACAATATGCCAAAAACTGTGATAGTAGCTGGGGATGTCAAGGTGAGTAAGATACAGTCTTACCTTTCAAGGAATTCACAGTCTAGGGCATATTAAAATCCATCTGAGATCAAATTTTGACAAGTTGAACAGATATTTATTATCCCAGCAATACTTTAGTTTTTTAGGTCTCATTAAAAATACCGTATTTACTCTTCCCTTGTTATTTTATGAGTGAAGTAGAACTTATGGGAAGCATGCTAATGTAACAGAAGATATGCTGGTTTTAGAATCATAGCTCCATTCTCCTTCTCACAGTCTTATTTTCCTCTTCTAAAATGAAGTTTATATTAAGGTCAGGTGAAGAACAGGAAATTCACATTTAAGATCTCTGTGGTGGTCACTGACACTTCTGCACATGGTCCCAGCTCTCTGCCTCCCCAGCACAGGTAGAATTGCCCTAGGCGCACACTATGAGGTTTGACATGGCTGCTAGGAGTTGCTTTGACCACAGAAATGTAAGCAGAAGGGATACATATTACTTTATGGAAGAAGTTTTACAAATGACTACTTGCTTTGCCACATTGCCTTCCCACTGCAGTGACGATCATGGAAGCAAATGTAAAAATGAAGCTTCCATCAGCCTGGGTTGTTGGATGACCACGATGAGTAGAGCTTCCATGCCAGCCCACGCTGAACATGCTCATTCGAACGAGAAATAAACTTGTTGAGTTAAGCTGCTGTGCCGTGGAGTTGTTACCATATGCATAACCTATCCTGACACATGCATCCCTAAACTTTTCTCTGTCTTATACTGTGTTTAATTTGGGCCTTATTCTTTGTCATTTTAAATAATGATTTCCAGAGTTCCTGAACAAGCAAGGCTTCCTACATGGTTTTACTTTCAAGTTTTATGGTGGGTTTTTATAGCTTATTTTTAAAACTTGTTTAAAAAAATAATAGTTGATATCCTGTCCTCATTTTTGTAGGTTCTTCTGCTTTTTCTTTTTTTTTTTTGAGACAGAGTCTCACTCTGTTGCCTAGGCTGGAGTGCAATGGTGCGATCTCGGCTCACTGCAACCTCTGCCTCCCTGGTTCAAGTGATTCTCTTGCCTCAGCCTCCCGAGTAGCTGGGATTACAGGTGTCCACCACCATGCCTGGTTTTTTTTTATTTTATATATATATTTTTAGTAGAGATGAGGTTTCTGCCATGTTGGCCAACCTGGTCTTGAACTCCTGACCTCAGGTGACCCACCTACCTCGGCCTCCCTGGGCTGGGATTACAGGCATGGGACACCATGCCCAGCCTGCATTTTCAATTTATTTTGGCAGTAGCTCTAACAGATAACTCACAATATGGAATAATTTTGAAAATATATAATAAACGCTTCCTTTTAACAGCCTTGAGGAAAAAAAACTGTTAATTTTTTTTTCTAAAAGGTTTTGGTTGGTTGAAGGTTTTCAGATTGATGATGAGGAACAAGATGAAAAATGTATTGATTTTCTTTTACCACATATAACATCTAATGTTATTGTAAAAGATCAGGGAAGAACAACAGCTAGATAATTTTCAACAACACTGCATTCATTTTCATTCTCTACAGACAACACATTTATTTTTCACAATAAGAATCCACAAAGAAAGATAAAATCTGAGTTTCTAAGAGGACTTAAATCTGCTTTGGCTTTTTATTTTACATCATTTTCCCAGGAGAGCACAGAAGAGATCTGAACAAGCCCATTAACAGAAAAACTTGTGTAGCCAGAATCTTTTGAGAGCCTTGGTAGAAGGATTTATGTTGTATTAAGGTCTATATCTTCTACCACATCTAGAATCTTATCTGTTTCATAGAATGTAGGCTTTTAGTGCACAATAAGTAATTTTCTAAACCTGCAGATGTAGACTGGGTGCGGCGGCTCACACCTGTAATCCCAGCACTTTGGGAGGCTGAGGCAGGTGGATCACTTGAGGTCAGGAATTCAAGACCAGCTTGGCCAACATGGCAAAACTTCATCTGTACCAAATAAAAAAATATATACATATGCAAAAAAAAAATTACCCAAGCTGGTGGCACACACCTGTAGTCCCAGCTACTCGGGAGGCTAAGGTGGGAGAAATGCTTGAACCCAGGAGGTGGAGGTTGCAGTGAGGTGAGATCATGCCAGTGCACTCCAGCCTGGGTGACAGAGTGAGAGCTTGTCTCAAATAAACAAATAAGTAAAATAATAAAAATAAAATAAAATAAAATAAAATAAACATGCAGATGTAAATTTGATTATGGTGAGCTCCAGGATCCAGACTGAAAACTGAAAAAAAATTTAGATTATATATGTGTGTGTATATATATAAAAATATATATATGTGTGTGTATATATATAAAAATATATATGTGTATATATATAAATATATATGTGTATATATATAAATATATATGTGTATATATATAAAAACATATATGTGTATATATATGTGTGTGTGTATATATATAAAAATATATATATATGGAGAGAGAGAATATATAACATACCTCTATGAGGTGGTGTGTATACCATGGTCGGAATGCTTGTGTTCCCCTAAATTCATATGTTCCCTAAGCTAATGGTATTAGGAGGTGGGGCCTATGGGAGGCGATTAGGTGACGGGGGAGGACCCCTCACAAATGGGATTAGTGTTTTATAAAAGAGGCCCTTCCAGCTCATGAAGATACAGCAAGAAGGTGCCTTCTATAAGCCAGAAAACAGGAGCTCACCAGACAACGAATCTGCCTTGATCTTGGACTTTTGCGGACTTTGGTTGTTTATAAGCCACCCAGTTTATGGTACTTTGTTAAAGCCACCTGAACAGAACAAGGCAATAATCCTACACATATAAAAAACAAATACTGAGTCACAGTAGCGAATGGCTCCCCCTCACACTTCCACGCCTGGGCAGCCGTACTTCACAGGCCTCCTGCTCCTGGCCATCTGACAGTTTCTGTTCTTTTGTCCCCAGGACCTAAAGGACACTCTGTTTTCCTACAAATAGTCCAGGTAAGAGCTGCAGTTTTCTTCGAGGCCCAGCCTATAGCACAGTTACTGCCTGATACAGGGACCAAATCAGGCTTGATGAGAGAGATCTTTCAGTTTGAGAGCCAACTGATACACGAGGCCTCTGGAAGTAAACTGCAGGGAGTACAGGATCTTTAGGGTGGAAAGTGATCACAGACAAATAGAGGGGAGGTAGGTAGGTAGGTAGGTGTGGCCTTAGCCCATCAGGCTTCTATATGGAAAGTCCTATATGACCATAAACTATATTACCGTTCAGTTTCCCACCACACGCCGTACATATATCACTGAGATAGGCTGTCAGGTGAAAATAGTCTTGAACTTTGTCATTCCGGAGAATGGGAGGTTTCATCGCCCTCATCAGTCTTGTTGGGAATAGGTAAGACTGGGGAGAAAAGTGATCAATGACACAAGCCATCTCTCAGAGCATCAGTTTTGAGATGTTCTGACACAGAAATAAAAATAGATTTCTTAAGTAGTTAGAAAATGTATCCTTTGAGGCCAGGTGCGGTGGCTCACGCCTATAATCCCAGCACTTTGGGAGGCCAAGGCGGGTGTATCACTTGAGGTCAGAAGTTCGAGACCAGCCTGACCAACATGGTGAAACCTGTCACTACCAGAAATACAAAAATGAGCAGGGCATGGTGGCGCCTGCCTGTAATCCCAGCTACTGGGGAGACTGAGGTAGGAGAATCTCTTGAACCTGGGAGGCAGAGGTTGCAGTGAGCTGAGATTGCACCACTGCACTCCAGCCTGGGTGAGAAAGTGAGACCATGTCTCAGAAAAAAAATTAAAAAAGAAAAGAAAAGAAAATGTATCCTTTGAGAGACAGTATTGGGAAACACTGAGGACATGGTGTTTGGAGGAAGACTGGCATGAATACACATTTTGACTCTTTATGTGTGTGTTGCTTATGGAAAGCGATTTGATCCTTCCAAGCCTCAGTTTCCTCATCAGTGAAATGGGAATAATCTATACAATTCCCCACAAGTATACATACGTAACAAACCTGCACGTTATGCACATGTACCCTAGAACTTAAAGTATAATTAAAAAAAAAATCTATACAATTCCCAATCTAGAATCTATATATACCTCATATGACTGTTTTAAGAATACAATGAGACAATTATGGCAAGTGCAAATCAAAGTTCCTTGTGTATAATAAATACCCAGCAATGGCAACAGCTTTCTCTTGCCCTTCCTCTCTCCTTTGATTTCAAGATGGGCATATTATACCTTGACAATCCATTTTATGACGCTCCTTCACAAGTGTTGGGAAACTACCACAGCTGTTTTAACTGGCAAGTGCTTGTTTTTTGCCCTTAGTTACTACTGGCTTGTGTGGAGAAGGGGATTGTCATTTGCCAGGTTGAACTATCATCTAGGAACCTCACTCCTCTGTGTAGATTTCCCTTCAGACTGCCGATGAGAATCAGTGCTCTCCATCAATAAAGGAATGGCTCTTCTACAAATAATGCTGAAAGGATTTTCTTAAGAAACTCAATTTGTCTTACGTACTTGAGCTCGATCACTTTGTCGTCACTAACGGTGATGGTATACAGACAGTGCATATCGTTTAGGTAGTCTGTGTACGAATAGGAAGGACTTGTGATGATTCCAGAAGAGAAATTGAACACACCACCACAGGCTGCAACAGAAGACAAGGGAATATAAAGAGAACAATGATTAGTCCCAGCATGGAAAAATGATTTTAAGAGATTCTATACTATTGTACATTTTTCTGTAAGAGAGGTAATAATTATTTTTCTTCAAGTGACTGATATCTCCCTTCATTGTGTTTACACATATTTCTGATTTTTCCACTAGGAAGGAAAATGAAAGACAGCAAGAGGGTGGAAACAGGGAAGAATATTTAAAGGCACTTCTTGGAAAGGAATCAGTCTGAGTCACATTAATGGCCAGAGTGAAAATGACGAGAAGGAACATTTCACCTGTTGGAGTGTCACCATCCCTTCCCTGTATTTCAATGACAGGTTGAGAGAGGGATGACAGCAGTAACAAAGTATGGAAAAGGCAACCAGAATGATGTTCTAGGCATATAGATCTAGGAAAGATTGTGATCTGGAAATCTGAAATTGTAGAGATCCATGTCTCTTCTGTCAGGGATAGAATATTATAAGGTAAAGTACTGGAAATCTTTTTGGAACTTTCCAGTTTAGTTCCTTCTGTGGGCTCAAGTGCATAGCTCTCCAGTCTGGTGTATTTGCAGTCAGTTCTGAGACTGGTAAGGACTAAACTTGCCCCGGTTTGTATTAATATCACTGATCCTCAATCCTTAACAAGCAGGAGGAGGCCAGGCCCATTCCTCTCCAGGATTCCAGCAATTAACAGCTCAGAGCCTTCAGCTAGACCCATTAGTCAATAAAATAACAGACATAAAAATGTAATAAAACCCTCTTATCTACAATATAAAATGATTATTTTTGCTTGGGTTTACATATGAGGATCAGATTGTATCTCCTGATGATCAATCTCACTGCAGTGGAAAGACCTATCTATATATATCTTGTTTTATGATTCTAAAATTATAATGGGGTTAACGCATTGTGAAGTATTTCCATGGTTTCTACACTATCAATGGACACGTTCCACTTTACATCCTCAGAAATAAGGAACAAAGTGTGGCTGCCATGTCAGGCTCTTTATTTCGTTACTGCTTTTGCCTCAGCTGAGCCCACCTTGCAGGGAGCAGTCTTCTCTATGTGCCTGTAAGTACTTGCGTGTTTCAACCCCCAGGCCCATCTGTAAGTGAATTACATGTCAGATACGGGTAGCAATCACTCCTTTTCACTTTATACACAATTATGTGGTCTCTGGAAGTTTATCAAGGCCTAAATAACTCCCATCTTTGCACAATATCAGCAATTGAAGTCTTAACATGAACGACACTCTTTAAGTGGGACTCTTATACTAGAATATGTTGAATCTTGACTACTTCCTCATAGGAAAATGAGGGATTAAAGAGAAGAAGAAAATAAAGCAGGAGTTTACCTCTCCAAAGCAGCACTTGTGCCAAAAGAATAAAACAAATCAATCCTTCTCTTTATTCAACAAGACGACGGGAGAGGAAATGTTAATTGCGCGGTTCTATTCTGCTTGAGCCAACAGAGCTACACAGCCATATGTAATCATACTTTACAGACTGTGGGAGTCAGGACGCAGATAGCAGCTAATGTGAGCAAATTATGGAGGCCCTTTTCAGAAGTAAATACATGTTTTTAGTCTTCTCTGTGGATGGGAATGGTAATTTATTCCAAGGGAAACTATTTAGCTTTCTACCTTTAGCAGTGGGTTTGGTGGAGCAAAGATGAAACAGACCCAAGAAAGATGTTACAAGATTTATGTGCCAGTTTGACTGCAGCTGAGATGTCCATTAGATAGTATAAAAATATTGTCAGCAAAGTAACCAGGCAGGAGGGGAAAAGACTATTTAAGATCGGGAAATGCAACCTTAGAATGTTCTGGGTAGCAACAAATGCCTCTTTCCAGTCCGTTGCTCCTCTTTTCTCTTTGCCTTTGATACAGAGAAGTTGTAAATTATAGCATAGTTTAATATGTCAGTCTTTTCCTTTAGGGCTTGTGCTTTTTGCATAGTGTTTTAAAATATTCTTTCCTATCAGATTGTAAAGACATTCTCTTATATTTCTTCTAAATATATAAAATATTAATTATTGTATTAGCAAAATGACTTGGGGAAATAAAGCAGGCATCTGGATAATTTGGACTAACAGGCAATTTTGTATAAGGGATGAAAAACAAAAAAATAGCAGTAGTATTTATTTAACTTAAATTACAAAACAAAGGTCAATTCTTCATTTGATTTTCAGAGTAGTTCTAGCCAAAGTTCATAAAAAAGGTCCTCTTCTTTTTAAGAAAAAACGTGTATTTTTTTTTTTTTACCATGAACCTCATTGACAATTTTTTTCTCTTAAATTCTCTGAATCTTCAAGTTGGTGCTGTATGAATCATTGTGAAAACTCATTGTATAAATTACTCAGGAAAGAAGAAAATTCCAAACTCTGTCATTATGGCTACTCACAGATTATCCTATAGGAAAACTTGAATCCAAAGTCTGTGATTTGCTCGTTGGAGTAGAAGTGAAGCAGAACCGGCCCGGCGATGGTGAGGGGAGCTGGCATCTCATTCCCACACACAGTAGCAAATGGGGTGGACGTGAGGCTGTAACCTCTGATAATGTGCACGCCATCATTGACGCAGCTTCCTGTCACAGCAGAACGAGCTGGACAAGGCATGAAACAACCACATTATGATCAGAACCAACACAAACAATTAATGCCGTAAACGTAAAAACAAAAATGTGATGATGATTCATGCAATTGCTATAAAAATTAAAATGAGAAACAAGAGATATTTAACTTAGTTTCCTGTTGAAACGATGTTTACTCTAACTACGAAACAAGCACAGGTATGAGAAAACAGGTAGAACTTCACAATAGACACATTCCACTTTGAAACAATTCAGAATTTCCTTTCTTTAGATACGGTTCCTTTAATTCAGTGACTGTAAACTGGGGACCGTGTTGCCTCCCCAAGAACACCTGGCACTATCTGAAGGCATTTTTGCTGTCACACTGTAGACTGGAGGAGAGACCAGGGATGCTCCTGAAGATGCTGCTATACACGGGGCAGCCCCTACGCCCGGGACCCTCTGGGACCTACAAAAAACTACCTAGCCCAACATGTCAATAGCGCTGCTACTGAGGAAACTTGCTCCAAGCTTATGTCCAGATAAGTGACTCCTACCATGGAGTTATCATTAGAAACTCCTTACTGTTTATTGAACAACCGTTTTAGATGTTCACACAAACACTATTAGCAAAAGAGTTTAAGGACTATAAAATACATATTATTGTTTTGTTTGCTAATTATAATGCGAATATATGCTCCAGCCTACCATCCACCAAAGAAAAATATAAAAGAAAATAAACAAGAAATTAAAGAGACATTTGTCCACTACAACATATCCAGTGATTTTTATAGGTGAACACATACTGTTAAAATATTAACTGGATCATACCTAATTTGTATTAATATGAAATGACACCCATATTGTAGCCTAATTTGTATCAATATGAAATTACATCCATCATGCATTTGTTTGTGATTAAATATTCTTCTAAAACATTATATTAGGGCCAGGCATGGTGGCTCACACCTGTAATCCCAGCACTTTGGGAGGCCGAGGCAGGCGGATCACCTGAGGTCAGAAATTCGAGGCCAGCCTGGGCAACATGGCAAAACCCTGTCTCTACTAAAAATACAAAAGTTAGTCAGCTGTGGTGGTGCACGCCTGTAGTCCCAGCTACTCAGGAGGCTGAGGGCAGGAGAAACACTTGAACTTGGGAGGCAGAGGTTACAGTGAGCTGAGATCACGTCACTTAACTCCAGCCTGGGTGACAGAGCAAGACTCCATCTCAAATAAAATAAAATAAAACATTATATTATTATGAAAGGAATGGAAAAAAACTGCAATAACTTTTGTGCCAACATATTAATGCCTATATCAAATTCGAACATATAGATGTGCCATCCCACGTTCCATCAATCCCCTATTGCTTGAAATTCTATATTCTCCACATTTCTGTAAATAAAGATATAGTTGGAAAAAACATTCCTGTACATAAATATTTGAGGAAGTCTTTCATTATTTCATCAGAGTAAGTTTTTAGAAGTTAGATACTGGCACTAAGGTAAGATTCTTTTTCAGGTTATCGAATGATCCCTACATTGGTGTTGCCGGCTTACTCTCCCACAGCATTTTTGGCATCTGACATTCTTCCCAATTCTACGTTTTCATTGCCCATAGGAAAATGTTATGCCCATTATCAATCACTCCAGTATCATCCTTCCTGTATATGGTCTCCCGCCCTAGGCAATTACTAAACTACTTTCTGCCTCTATGGATTTGTCTATTCTGGACATTTCACATGAATAAAATCATGCAATATGTGACCTGTTGCGGCTGGCTTCTTTTACTCAGTGTAATGTTTTTGAGGTCCATCTATGTTGTAGCATGTGTCAGTATGTCATTCCTCTTTATGGCTGAATATATTCCTTTTTATAGTGATACCACATTTTGTTTATCTATTCATCAGTTGACAGACATTTGGTTTGTTTCCACCTTTTGGCTATGATGGATAATGCTGCTATGAACATTCATGTGTGAGATTTTGTGTGGGCACGTGGTGTTTTCAGTTCTTTTGAGTATATAACCGGGAGTGAAATTATTAGCCCCCAAATTAGGTATGTATTTAATTTTATAAGAAACTGCCAAACTATATCTCATAGTAGTTACATCAGTATACATTCTCGCCAGGGATGTGTAGGACTTCCAGCGCTCTGCAGGGATGCCAACATTTGACATTGTCAGTCTTTTTAATTTTAGCCATTCTGGTGCATGTGAAACGAAACTTCATTGTGATATTTAATTTTAATTGCTCTGATGATTAACGATGTGAAATATTTTCCCATTTTCATTTACAAACCACAAGAACAAAATAATTTTATTTCACGGAGATGCTAACTTGAACATATGTTTAATGATCCACATCACCCCAACACAGAAAATTTACCTACTTACAAATTCCCCATTGGGAATGACCAAAACTACATTATTTTATGTAAACACATACTATGGCACAGTGGACTCTGAAATCAGACATCCTGTTTGCTGTTTGCTGTTAGAATACTCTTCCTATAAGAGCATGCTGACAAAATCATTATGAACACTTACTTTATAATTTCAAGTCCCCTGGCCATAGATCTTGGTTCAAAGGTGGACGTGTGGCCTAATCCAATTCAACAAAGGTGAATTTCGACAGCCTTGTTTGACATTTGGAATTTGGAATACAGGCAGTAGTATGCTGGTAAATATAACAACCAACTCTCCGAGAGATTTGTGGCATTTGCCAATTTCCATCGTATAAACACTCCCATGATAGCCAATTTCAAGCTATTAACAACAAGTCATTAAACGCAGAATAGGAATAGATGAGCAAAATTGACTCTTGCAAGGTGGTGCACGCCAACTCTAGCATACCACGGGATAGAAGCCATCTCTTTCTGATGTGGGTGAGGAGTACCCACTGTGAGAGCAGCAACTCTACAGCAATGAGAGGAGCCAGCCTCAGGGTGAGGCTCACACTGAAGCAGCACAAAGTAAAAACAGAAACAGTCAAATATTTGATGACATAATTAAAATGCTGAATTAAGAGATTTGCAGCACACCCAACTTTGAAACCTTCCAGAATTAAAAACCAATGAATTGCTCCTTTGTGTTTAAACCAGGTTGAATCAAGTTTCCTGTTAATTGTGACATAAAACCTCCTAATGGATATGGTAGATATTTTTGTGATTAGAGTCACTGTTGCTATTGTTTACACAACCTCACCATCCTGACCATGGTTGACTGATTGATTGATAATTCCAGTCAATCAATGGCAAGGCATGGCATGAGACCCAATACAGGTCAATCAGAAGTGTTCAAACTGCAACAGAATAAGAGTCTATGGTAGGAGCCAAAGATACTAAACTTAAAAAATGTCTGCAGCCATGTTTCCTGACACATTAAGGAAGCCAGGCTGCCATAAGGGAAAAAGAAGTTATTGTGCAGAAAGCAGCAAAACAGTGGGGAAGAGAGAGCATGCTGACAGATTCTTGTCCCTGGTTTCCTTTGTTCTAGAAGCCCTTCCTTTGATGAAATGAAAACACCCAGTATCTTTCTTATAAACCCCACTTTGTATCTAAGCAACTTGAAGATAATTTGCCACTCAAAGAATCTTGATAAATACTTTTAAAAAGTATATCTGTGCATTAAAGAGTTACCACACATTCTTAAATCATTTTAAGAATACATTCAGCTCCTTAGCTAAGTTTCTATTCAGTCTGCAGAAATCTTGAGGTATCAATTCAAGATATACATTTTTAAATTAACCTCAAAGAATTCCCTTATTTTGAAAACGCTGGAATAGAAATATTTCTAATTGGGTATAAATCTACAAGTTGAAAGCATGAAAGACTGAATTTCAATGGCCTTTTCATGTAATTAGAAGCAATATGATGTTGGAAAAAGAGGACAATAAAGAAATAAATTAAACTCAGATTCATGGCTTGAATATTGCCAAATTATGTACCTTAGTTATAACCTCAGTATTTGTCTTTAAGACATCAAAAGCTCCACTGGAACTAAAAAAAATTTAAAGTAGATGAGTTTGAGAATAAAACAATTGTGCACTAGTTATAGAAATATCTTTAGCAACAATATATCAAGTTATAAAACCAAAATCACATAATGTAGGTAAAAACTGCTGATGCTGGATTGAAATCTTGGTCCCACATTTGATCAAATAGGCTGCTATGCATGTGTTCTTTAAGTATTAAAGAGTTAGTTGTTCAGTTGTTGGGCTAATGATATAGTTGATCACAGTGGCAGTTGTCTTAGAAAACAGTGAAAAGGCTGTGAAACATAAAGTAAAGTGTCACTTATACTTGATTATGTTGGCAAATAGTTGATTAAAGGAACTAGTTGAAATATAGAAAGTTCATTCATGAAATGGCAGTTACATAATCAAACTCGAGATTATGTCAACGAGTTTATCAACGAGATATAATTAAAACTCATTAACAATTTATTAAATGCCTATATTGAACAATAAGGAAGTTTGTTGGGGAAATGCAGAGGAAGTTGAGAAGGGATTTTAGATTTTTTGTAGATGGCAATAGAATATCAACTAACTAAACCAATTATTTAAGACAGTCTGCTCCTTCTCAAAGCCTGATTCAGTAAAATATAAAAGTTATAATATCTGGCAGCTTATTTCATGGATTAAAACATACTTGTATCCTTTCTAGTAGTTATTTATTTAAGGTAGGATGTTATGCCCTTTCAAATTTTGTCCAAAAGAAATCAAACATGTACATAATATTAGAAGTCGGTAAAATTAGTTAAAGTCTAAGAAAATATCAAAAATTAACACGAACAAAGTAATATGCAAGAAAATGAGATATGTGTGTCACTAGGCATTAAGTACTTTACACACATACATCAAATTCTAAAGTTCTATATATCCCATCACTGCATTAGGTCAAAAATATCAGCACGATTCTTCAGTGAGAAGGTGCTTGGTAACAGACTAAAGGCATCAGAAAATAATTACATTAAACACTTTCTCATCATTATTGGAAGAGCCAATCGCATGTATAATCAAAATATACACAAAA